GTAATATATATATATATATATATATATATTAGATTATTTTGTACATGTAAATTAAGAGTTTTAGGCTTGTCAAGTAAACTGCAATAAATGTTTTCTATGTTTAAGAATGTTAAATGTTTGTAATACAACATACTCGGATTTTTTTATTACATACGTTGTTTATCTAATAAAACTACTTTAAAAAATAATTAGCTTTATTTTTATTTCGTTTAAAACCTGAACACACTGCGCTATTCAATTCAAGCATTCTGACTTTGATACTGAAAAAAAAATAAGAAAAAACGACACAGATAGTACCCTTTGGATGCTTATTTCTTTTAATCCATAAAGGAATACATTTAACGTGGCTTATTATTTTGAAATTAGTTAAAAATAAGACTCTAAACTAAGCGGAATTCGAACACCAGCTTCTAGTGGAAGTTATTTATTTGTTTATTTGTTATTGAATTTCGCGCAAAGCTACACGAATGCTATCTGCGCTAGCCGTCCCTAATTTAGCAGTGTAAGACTAGAGGAAACTCTTGGGCTACTCTTTTACCAACGAATAGTGGGATTGACCGTTACATTATAACGCCCCCACGGCTGAAAGGGCGAGCCTGTTTGGTGTGACGGGGATTCGAACCCGCGACCCTCAGATTGCGAGTCGAGTGCCTTAACCACCTGGCCATGCCGGGCCTGGAAATTATCAACACAGATACAGTATCTTAGACCAGTGTTTCCCAAAGTGAGGGCCGTGTAGCTTTTTCTGGGGGCCGCCAAAAATGGGCCGAAAACAGAGATGCTGAATTAATTTTAATTCTAGATAAACAATAAGCCGATAAAAATAAAAAACGCTCTAAATGATCTGTCAACAAATGCATTTCAGAAGTAGCTGGATTTCGAACGCTGCCTCTCATTTTACAAATAACTAATTTCGTATCAAGGAACTCCTGTAAATATCACGTATCTTGATAAGTCTTTCAAGTATTCACTTTCAAAACGAACAACTCCAAATTAACTACCATAAGTATATTCTATAGGAATTATTTCACAAAGTAGTTTTGAAAACAAACAAACGTCCCTTACTATAATTGATTCAACTTCAAAGTTAATCGTTCGGGAGTGGTCTAGTAGTTAACTTGACGGACTGTGAATCTGATGGTCCATGGTTCGTATCCTTTGCCACAATATCGTGCTATGGACTTTTGGGCCGTGGGTGCGTTATAAGAGTGACGGTGAAATCTCACTATTTCACTAGAGTAGCCCAAATGTTTACGGCGGGTGCTGTTGTCTAGTTGTCTTCTCTCATGTTTATTAGTTCAAAATTAGGGATGGTTAAACTAGTGCGAAAAAATAAAAGTGG